CCCCAGGCCCCAGGCCCCGCCGCGGCTTGGACGACCCCCAGGCCCCAGGCCCCGCCGCGGCTTGGACGACCCCCAGGCCCCAGGCCCCGCCGCGGCTTGGACGACCCCCAGGCCCCAGGCCCCGCCGCGGCTTGGACGACCCCCAGGCCCCAGGCCCCGCCGCGGCTTGGACGACCCCCAGGCCCCAGGCCCCAGGCCCCGCCGCGGCTTGGACGACCCCCAGGCCCCAGGCCTCGCCGCGGCTTGGCTGACTGAGATGGGAAAAACCTCGTGGTATTCTCGCTGGACTGTTAATCCAGAGACACTCATAATGTTCTGGGACCGGGGTTCGAATCTCACCATAGCAGATGGTGGAATTTGAATTCAATAAAAAAAATCTGTAATTAAGAGTCTAATCATGACCATGGATCCATCGCCAATTTTTGAAAAAAACTCATCTGGTTTCACTAATGGGAAAGAGACTGCCATCCTTACCTGGACTGGCCTACATGTGACTCCAGACCCGCAGCAATGTGGTCCACTCTTAACTGCCCTCTGGGCAATTGGGGATGGGCAACTAATGATGGCCTAGCAACAACACCCACATCCTGTGAATGAATTGAAAAAAAACTCATAGGCCCCAAGCCTCGCTGTGCCTTGGCTGACTCACAGGCCCCAGCCCTTGCTTTAACTAGGGTTGCTTTCACACCTCAGGTCTTGCCCTGGCCCACTTCACTGCCACTGGTCATCTGACAATCTGTCTGCCCGATGCCAACAGGAAAGCAAACAGCCTTTTCATCCCAGCACTGGATGACTCATTTGTAAATCTGCCTCTTACAGTCTCGAAATATCTTTCAAAATAAATAAACAAAGTGATCAAGGAAAGAGGAAAGAACAATCTGAATTGCCTGAAGAGTTTCCACTGGCATCGTGTGCTGCAGAGAAATGATCTAGGAGATTAATGCTCAAATTTTGACAGTCTCCAGGGAGGTTGTGAGGGGTTTAGAAACTCTTAATGTTACAGCATTCGAATGTGATTAATTCACCCTACTTGGATTCATTGATTCAAAGTTTCCGATCCCAGTATTAATCAGACTTTCTGACAGTCGTCCAAAGTTATTACTCGCTACTATAACCCCTTTAATACTTAACATTCCTTCACACAAAACTGGGATAAACTGGTTCCAAGCTAAGACGGGGTGACTACAACATAAACTAGCCTGAGTAACCAATGGGAAAATGATTGAGATTTTTCTGCATGCGTGCTTGCTTTTGGCTGCAAGTGGGACAAGTTGCACTGCCAAAATGTCAGGCACACTTCATTTCAGGCAGAGTGCACTAACATACAATTATCTGCCAGATTCAAAAAACCTTTGGAAAAGCACAGACAATGAGTATGAAATATCACCTTCTGTTACGGATGCCCAGCTGACAACATGTGAACAGTGAGAGGGAAAACAAAAAGAACAAATAACATCCCACACACTGAGCTTGTTTTCTGTTTTCAATACAGCAGACCCAATTTTAATTTTCTCAGACAACAGAACCATAGAAATTCACACCAGCATCTCACAAGCCATACAAACGCCCGAATGTGATCCGGGAAGAGAACTGATAAATTTGGCTCCTCTGAAGAATAAATTCCAACAGGGACTGTTTGAGCTGTAGGGTCTGCTTCCCTGTAAATGGTGGAAGCTCTACTCTGTGTCTAACCCCACGCTGTCCCTGTCCTGGGGACAGTGTGGATGCAGCTTTACTCTGCATTTAACCCCTTGTTATCCCTGTCCTGGGAGTGTTTGATGAGTACAGTGTAAAACCAGCCTTACTCTATATCTAAATTTGTGTCCCGCTTATCATAGAATCCCTACAGTATGGAAACAGGCCATTCGGCCCAACTAGTCCACACCACCCCTCTGAACAGTATCCCACCCTGACTCATTCCCCTAGCCCGGCATTTTCCCCATGTCTGACCCAATCATCCCTCAACACTACGGGCAATTTAGCATGGCCAATCCACCTAGCCTGCGCATCTTTGGACTGTGGGAGGAAACCGGAGCACCCGGAGAAACCCACGCAGACACAGGGAGAACGTGCAAACTCCACACAGACAGTCGCCCGCTGGTGGAATCGAACCCGGGTCCCTGGCGCTGTGAGGCAGCAGAGCTAACCACTGAGCCACCGTGCTGCCCACGGCTCTGCTCTGATCATCAGACATGCAGCCTGAGAGATCAGTGGAGGGATTGACAGATTAGAGACAGGCAATTCTGAGGTAGAGCTGGGTGTTGACAAAAACAAACAGCAGCATCCCACAGACCGAGAAAAGAAAAACACTGCGGGTGCTTAATATGAAATAAAACAAAATGCTGGAAATACGCAGTTGGTCTAACAACAGAGTTTGCATTTCAAGACAAACATGACTCTTCTTCCGAAGTCGAATGATAGATCCTTGGGATTTCCAGAGGTAACAGTGTAGCAGTGTGAAGAGAAGCTACTGCAGGTTATTCTCTGGCTATCAATGCAATGGAACAAGGCGATGGGCAGTCCCACTGAAATGAACAGCCTGCCCTAGGAGTCTTCAGATTCACCAGGTCAGTACAACTTGTCTCTCCCAATTGCCAATGTCACTTGATGATTCACCCACTCCAACCTTGAATCACCCTGAATGCACCATAGAAAGCATTCTATCTGGACGCATCATGGCTTGGTACGGCAGCTGCTCTCCCCAAGATCGCAAGAAACTACAGTGAGTTGTGAACACAGCCCAGTCCATCACACAAGCCAACCTCCCATCCATTGGTTCCATCTACAGTTCTTGCTGCCTTGTAAAGGCAGTCAACATCAAAGACCCCACCCAACCTGGTTATAATGTCATCCAACCTGTTCCATCAGGCTGAACATACAAAAGCTTAAACATATGTACCAACAGGTTTAAAAACAGCTTCTTCCTGCTGTTATCAGACTGCTAAACGGACCTCTCCAACTTCAAATCTAATGTTGATCTTGCTTTCTGTACACCTTCTGTGCAGCCGTAACTTTGTATTCCTCACTCCGTTCAACCACCCTGTTCAATTGCAGGGAATGTGATGGCCTAGTGGCATTATCACTGGACTGTTAATCCAGAGACCCAGGTAACGTTCTGGGTTCGAATCCTGCCACGGCAGATGGTGGAAATTGAATTCAATAAATATCTGGAATTAAAGCATCTAATGACGACCATGAATCCACTGTTGATTGGTGGAAAAACCCATCTGGGTCACTAATGCCCTTAAGGGAAGGAAACTGCCAACCTCACCTGGTCTGGCCTACATGTAACTCCAGGCCCACAGTAATGCGGTTGACTCCTAACTGCCCTCTGGGCAATTAGGGATGGGCAATAAATGCTGGGTCAGTGATGCCCTCATCCCATGAATGAATAAAGAAAAAAAAAAGTCACCCTATGATCTTTGTATGGTAATGTTCTGCCTGTACTGCATGCAAAACAAAACTTTTCACTGTACTTAGATACATGTGACAATAATAACAAATCGAATCACAGCCCTTCCCAATACCTCTACATATAACTCACTCAATTAAATTGGCGATTTCTGGAAGCGATGCTCTACGACCAATCCGTCGAAGGTGATACTGAGGAAGGCCATCGCTGTTCGTCCGATGGGGTGTCATATTCAACGCGGTCTGCTTGTCCCCACACTTGGGCCTGAAAAGAGACAGGGTCAGGAGGAGGCTATTCAGCCCCTCAAGCCTGTTTTGTCAGTCAATTAGATCATAGTTGATCTTTTCCTCAGCCCCAGCTATCCCCCTCTGCTTCAAATCTCTTGATTAACTCAAGTGATATAAGTGCAAGTAATATTCTTTTTGTAATATTCATTTCTTTTTGCAACCCCACCACCACTCCCCAAAAGAAAGTTCCAGATTTCCCCTCCCCTTTCTGTGAAGAAATGCTTCCTGACATCAGTCCTGCTCATTTGGCTCAGATCTCTTGTTTTGGACTCTCTTGCACGTGAGGAGAGGCAGATGAATTTAATTTAGATAAAGGTGAGGTGCTGCATTTTGGAAAGGCAAATCAGGGCAGGACTTATACACTTAATGGTAAGGTCCTGGGGAGTGTTGCTGAACAAAGAGATCTTGGAGTGCAAGTTCATAGTTCCTGGAAAGTGGAGTCGCAGGTAGATAGGATAGTGAAGGCAGCATTCGATAGGTTTGCCTTTATTGGTCAGTGCTTTGAGTATAGGAGTTGGGAGGTCATGTTGCGGCTGTACAGGACATTGGTTAGGCCAATTTTGGAATACTGCATTCAGTTCTGATCTCCCTGCTATAGGAAGGATGTTGTGAAATTTAAAAGGGTTCAGAGAAGATTTACAAGGATGTTGTCAGTGTTGGAGAGTTTGAGCTATAGCGAGTGGCTGAATAGATTGGGTCTATTTTCAATGGAGCGTCAGAGGCTGAGGGGTGACCTTATAGAAGTTTATAAAATTATGAGGGGCATAGATAGGGTGAATAGTAAAGGTCTTTTTCCCAGGGTAGGGGAGTCCAAAAATAGATGGCATCGGTTCAAGATGAGAGGGTAAAGATTTAAAAGGGATCTAACAGGCAAGTTTTTCATGCAGAGGGTGGTGTGTGCATGCAATGAGCAGCCAGAGGAAGTGGTGGAGGCTGATACAATTACAACATTTAAAAGGCATCTGGATGGGTACACGAATAGGAAGGGTTTAGAGGGATATGGGCCAAAGGCTGGCAAATAGGACTAGATTAATTTATGATATCTGGTCGGCATGGATGAATTGAACCAAAGAGTCTGTTTCCATGCTGTACAACTCTATGACTCTCAGAGATAGTGCCTGCATATATTTGTTTTAATCAGCTGACCTCAGTCAGCTTACCATTTAATCAACAATACACAGGAAACAAGCCTCCTTGCAGACAGTAAGGGCAGCAGATGCTGCAAGTTAGAATCAGTAAATGTGGATCTAGAAAAACACAGCTGGTCAGACAGGAGCAGGAAAGTCAATGTTTCGGGCTGAAACCCTTCATCAGCACTGGGGAGGGGGAGAGGAGCCTAGAAATAAAAAGAGGGAGGTGGGGTGGGACTGGGGGAGAGTAGGTGAGATGGAGATAGGTGGATGCAGGCAGGGGGTTATTATGGTGGTCAGTGGGAAGGGTGGAACCTCAACTCTGTAACCGGTCATCATAATTTAACTCTCTTTACCGTGGGATCATTCTAGTACTGCACCTCATCTAAGGTCAATCTATCCTCCCTGACTTATGATGCCCAGAACAGAACCCTGCTGGAGTCTGATCAGAGATTTATGCAACTAAAGCTTCACTTCCCCCAATAAAGGGCACCATGCCATTTGCCTTATCAATGGCTGCACCAATCTGACAGTTACTTCTCTCTACCCCTCCATAGTTCCCAGCTTCTCGCAACTCAGAAATTACTCTCAGTTCATCTCTCTCAGAATCAAACTTCTCACAAAATACTACCTGCCACTCCTTGGCCCACTCTGTCAGTTCCTCCTACACAGATTACTGGGTCTCCTAACGTAGCCTCACCTGCAAACCTGAACACACAGCTCTGTGTTCCAACATCCTCATGTAGTTGGTGAAAAGCTAAAGTGCCAGCAGTGATAGATTACAATAGCAGGGAGTTATGTTGGAGCTGTAAGGGACTTTGGTTAGGCTACAGCTGGAGAATTATGCGCAGTTCTGGTCACCTGGTTATTGGAAAGATGTGGTTGCACTGGATGGGGTGCAGAGGAGATTCACCAGGATATTGCCTGGGATTGAGAACTTTAGCTGGAAAGACAGGCTGAATAAACTCAGGTTGTTGCCTTTAGAGCTGAGAAAGATCTGATTGAGGTGTATAAGCTTATGAGGGGCATGGTCAAAGTGGAGAGGAAGCAGCTATTCCCCTTAGTTGAAGAGTCAATAACAAGGGGCATATTTTTAAGGTGAAAGGTTTAGAGGGAATTTAAGAAAAAATGTTTTCACCCTGACGATGGTGGGAATCTGGATTGCACTGCCTGGCAGGGTAGCAGAGGCAGGAAACCTCATGACTTTTAAAAATAAGTGGGCAAGCACTCGGAATGTCATCATATTGAAGGCTCTGGGCCAAATGCTGGAAAGTGGGATAGTGCAGATGGAGAATTTTTTTTTTGTGTTGGTACAGTCTCTAAGGTTTTAGAGTAGATTTGTAGCTCGGGTTGTGGATGTTGTGGTTGGTTGGCTCGCCGAGCTAGTTTGTTGTTCCGCAGACGTTTCGTTACCCAGTCTCGATGGGGCAAAAGGGCTTTTTTTTCCCCAATTCATTCCTGACAGGTGGGCGTAACCAGCTGGGCCACCATTTCTTGTCCATCTCTAATTGCCCAGAGGGCAGTTCAGAGTCACCCACATTGCTTTGGGTCTGGAGTCACATGTCAGCCAGACCAAGTAAGGAGGGTAGTTTCCTTCCCTAAGGGACATGAATGAGCCAGATGGGTTTTTTTCCCTGACAATCAGCAACAGTCATGGCCATCATTAGACTCACATTTCCAGATTATTATTTAATTCAAATTCCACCACCTGCCATGACAGGATTTGAAGCCAGATCCCCTGAATATTACCTGGGTCTCTGGATTTATAGTCTGGGGATAATACCACTAGACAATCACCAACTCCCTCTTTTGTTATGCCCTGACTCTACATCTCGCCATTCCCATGAATTCTCAAGATTCAGAATCATATAAGAGATCTGGATCCTTCACAGCTGTACGAACTCTGTTCAAAACCTGCCCATTTTTGTGCCACACCTAAGCTTTTCTCTTGCCCCAGTAATCCTACATTCAGATTTTCCAAATGTTTATCTCCAGCTGCCTCCTGAAAGTTCCAATGCAATTTGATTCCAGCTCCCTTTCAGGCTATTCAGGTTTTGTTCCAAACCAGCAACCTTTCCTGCAAGTGAAGGGATAACTTAAAAACCCGTGAGTTGTTTCGTCAATCAGTTTAAAATCATGTTCGCTGGAGATTGGTAGAGTTGTGCATTGTGTAGAAGGTTGTCAAAGGAAACAGCAAGATATAGATCATTTGCAGATATGGGCGGAGAAATAGGAGATGGAGTTTAATCTGGGTATATGTGAGGTGCTGCACTTTGGGAGATCAAATGTTAAAGAAAAGAATACAGTTAATGACAGGACTCTGAATAGCATTGATGTACAGAGGGGTCTTCAGGTTCAAGTCCATAGCTCCCTTAAAGTGCACACAAGTAGATAGGGTGGTAAAGAAGGCATGCTTGCCTTTGTAAGTCGGAGGATTGAGTACAAGGGTCAGGATGTCATGTTGCAGCTTTAAAAGACTTTGATTAGGCCACAGTTAGAGTATTGTGTTCAGTTCTGGTCAGCACATTACAGGAAGGATGTGGAGGCTTTGGAGGGAATGTAGAAGAGGTTTACCAGGACGCTGCCTGGATTAGAGGGTATGAGCTATAAGGAGGGACTAGAAAAACTCAGATTGTTTTCTCTTGAGCGGCAGAGGCTGAGGGGAGACTTGATAGAAGTCTATAAAATCATGACATGCATAGATAAGGTTGACAGTCAGAATCTTTTTCCCAGAGTTGAAGTGTCTATCACTAGGGGCAAGCATTTAAGGTGGGGGTGGGGGTGGGGGTGGGGGTGGGGGTGGGGGGGAGGCGTTGATAGGAAGGGGCAAGTTTTTTGTTTACACAGTGTGTGGTGGTGGTGAAGGCAGATACAATAGGGGGCATTTAAGGGACTTTTACATAAGTATATGAATATGCAAGGAATGGAGGGATATTGACCAATGTACCCCAAGGGTACTCACCCCTTCTCCCAACAAGGAGCCACCCCACCCCCAGGTGGGCTGATCCCACCCCCAGGGGATATTGATATTGATATTGATATTGACCCCGCCCCCCCCCCCCCCCCCCCCCCCCTCCCACCTCAGGGGATACTGATCCCTCGATCCCTCCCCCCCAACCAGGGGGTACTCACGCCGCGAATCCGGGACCCCGCCCTGCCGTTGCCGCAATGTGTTCCCGATCACTGGGCTCGGTCTGTCTCTTCAACAGGCCACACCGTCCGCCACCCGGAACCTACCTTCCTACACCCAATTAAACACCGACAGCGACCGCTCCACCATCGCGTCCGGGGCTGTCCCACTCCGACTTCCCGCCACCCTCAGCCCCGCCCCCATAACATTCAGTCCTGTTCCGCACCCCTTCAGCCCCGCCCCCAAGCCCCTCAGCCCCGCCCCCACGACCCTCAGCCCCGCCGCGCAACCCTTCTGCCCCGCCCCCTCACCCTTCACCCCTCACCCCCGCCCCGCAACCCTTCTGCCCCGCCCCCACACCCTTCAGCCCCGCCCACACACCCCTCCGCCCCGCCCCTTGAATTTTGGCCGTTATTTTTGAATCATTGCTGCCTGTGGGAACTTGTTGTGCTTTGATTCACAAGGAAGTTATTTGATCCATCAAGAAGCTGCTGTCTCTCCTGTGGGTAATGCAGTAGGTCCCCCTGTCGAACCTGTACCTTTGCGGATTAAATTACCTTCAAGTCACTGCCTTTTGGGAGCCATTCATAGTTTCTGCTTCCAGGCCTTGGTGTGCACCGAGGATCCCTCTCTGTGGACAAGTTACTCCTAACAATCCCTCTGAATTTCTTGCCCAGAACCTTAAATCTGTATCTCTCAGATTTCACACCATCAGCTAATGATCACAGCTTTATCTTTTCTACCTGATCCAGAACCTGCCATGATCTTGTACACATCTCTTTGCAGTTGACGCTATTTCATTCCTGGGATGTGACATTGCGGTCTGGGTCCACATTTATTGTTCATCCCAAGGGAGATAGAAAATAGGAGCAAGTGTAGGCCATTCAGTCCTTCAAATCTGCTCTGCTATTCAATACGACAATGGTAAATCATCTAACTCAGTACCCTGTCCCCGCTTTCACCCTGTACCCTTTGATCCCTTTAGCCCAAAGAGACACAGGGCGGTGGTGGAGGGTTGTTTTTTGGACCAGAGGCCTGTGACCAGTGGTGTTCTACAGGAACCAGTAGTACGTCCACTCTTGTTTGTCATTTATGTAAATAATTTAGATGAGAATAAATGTGGAATTGTTAGGAAATTTGCGGATGACGCCAAAATTGGTGGTATAGTGAACAGTGAAGAAGGTTATCTAAAATTATGAAGAGATCTTAATCAATTCGGTCAATGGGCTGAGGAGTGGCAGATGGAGTTTAATTTTGATAAATGCAAGTGTTGTATTTTGCAAAACAAACAAGGGTAGGGCTTATACACTTAACGGTAGGGCCTTGGCTAGTGTTGTAGAACAGAGGGACCTAGGGGTTCAGGTACATAATTCTTTGAAATTTGCATCATGGTAGACAGGGTGGTTAAGAATGCATGTAGCACGCTTACCTGCAATGCTCAGACTTTGAGTATAGGAGTGTGGATGTAGGTGAAACCTCTTCTGGAATACTGTATGCAGTTCTGGTTGCCCTGTTATAGGAAGAATATTACTAAACTGGGGAGGGTTCAGAAAAGATTAGCCCGGATGTTGCCAGGACAGGAGGGTTTGAATTATAAAACCAGGCTGGGACTTTTTTCACTGCAATGTGGGAGGTTGAGTGGGGAACTTATGGAGGTTTATTAAATCATGGGGACATAGATAAGGTGAATAGCAAAGGTCTTTTCCCTAGGGTGGGAAAGTTCAAAATTGGGGACATACTTTTAAGGTGAGAGGAGAAAGACTTAAAAAGGACATGAGGGGCAACTTTTTTACAAAGAGAGTGCTTAGTGTGTAGAATGAACTGCCAGAGGAAATGGTGGGTGTGGGTACAGTTACAACATTTAAAAGACATTTGGATAAGTGCATGAATGGGAAAGGTTTGAAGGGCAATGGGCCAAATGAGACAGGCAGGACTAGTTTAGTTTGGGAACATGGTCAGCATGGACTAGTTGGACCAAAGGATCTGTTTCCATGCTGTATGACTGTATAATTATATCTCACCTCTCCTTGAAAACATTCAGTGTTTTGGTCTCAACCACTTTCTGTGACAGAAAATTCCAATATACTCACTGCTCTCTGGGCGAAGAGCACACAATACTCCAGGCATCTTCTCACCATCTCTCACCAAAGCCCTGTACAATTACAGCAAGACATCCCTGCTCCTGAACTCAAATCTTCTCACTATAGAGGCCAACATACCCTTTGCTAATTGCCCTTGAGATGGTGGTGTTGAGCTGCCTTCTTGAACCACTGCCATCCATTTAGTATAAGTAAGCCCGCAACGTCAACAAGCAGGTTGCTCCAGGATTTTAACCCAGCGACACAGCAGAAATGTTGATAGATTTCCAAGTCAGAATTGTGAGTGGCTTGGAGGGGATATTCCAGGTGGAGATGTTTCTGTGTTTCTGCCAACCTCCTTCTTCTAGATGGAAATAGCTGTGGGTTTGGAAGGTGCTGTCAAAGGAATTTTGGTGAATTTCTGCAGTGTATCTTGTAGATGGTACACACTGATACTACTGAGCATCAGTGGTGAAGGGAGTGAAAGTTTGTGAATGTGGTGCCAGTCGTGCAGGCTGCTTTAACCTGGACGTTGTCAAACTTCTTGTGTGCTGTTAGAGCTGCACCCATCCAGGCAAATCAGAAGTATTACATCACATGCCTGAATTGAGTCCAGTAGATGGAACATGCTACTGCTATTGAGTGGCAGAGGGAATGGATGTTTGTGGATGTGGTGCCAATCAAGCTATAGGGTTAGATTTATTCCTTTTGGTGTCAAGCTTCTTGCATTCACCCAAGTAAGTGGAGGTGCTGTGGGCCATCAACATCAGCCAAACTGCCCTACTTTGCTCCAAGGAGAACCATCCCAGCTTCTCCAACCAAACCTGTCACTAATTCCCCAGTCCTAACTTACAACAACAACTGCACTCTATTACATTGATGGCAGTAAAGTGTTTTGCAAATATTCTGAGTTTATGCAAATTCTTTTTCAATCCTCAACCACTGAAACTAATGCCAGTGATTAGCTACTTGCTGCAGAACAACAGATTTGCAGTCTGATGAATATGAGATTAGATGGTGGAACTTGTTGACTGGATGCCTGTTCCAGCCTCAGAACTTTCCAAATAGTTTGGCCAGCAGGGCAGCTGTGCCTCTGCTTTTCTTGAAAAATCTAGACAGCTTTAATCTTAATGTATAGAAGGTACTGGCAGCATTGATGCCATTAGCAACATCTAATGACACACATCTTTAAAAGGCTTCTGGAACTTTAAACAGTGGTCAATGCATTGAAAAGTTAGAGGTGAATGTAGTGGCCAACGCTAAAGAGAAGGTGCTGGGGAAGCTGAAATGTCTGAAGGTGGATAAATCACCCAGACTGGATGGACTACACCCCAGAGTTCTGAAGGAGATACCGGAGGTGATTTTGGAGGCATTGGTGGTGATTTTTCAGGAATCACTGGAGTCAGGGAGGTCCCAGGGGACTGGAAAATGGCTAATGTAAAAGCCCCTGTTTAAGGAAGGAGGGAGGTCGAAGACAAGAAATTATAGGCTAATTAGCCTGAACTCTGTTGTTAGTAAGATTTTGGAGTCCATTATTAAGGATGATATTAGAGTATTAGAAGTATCAGAGTTCATGGAAGTGCATGATAAAATAGGGTGGAGTCAGCATGGCTTCATCAAGTGGAGGTCATGCCTGACAAATCTGTTAGAATTCTTTAAAGAGGTAATGAGCAAGTTAGACAAAGGAGAGCCAGTGGATGTGATCTATTTGGATTTCCAGAAGGCCTTTGATAAGATGCTGCAGAGGAGGCTGCTAAATAGGATAAGAGCCCATAGTGTTAGGGGCAAGGTACTAGCACAGATAGAGGATTGGCTGACTGGCAGAAGGCAGAGAGTGGGGATAAAGGGGTCTTTTTCAGGATGACAGCTGGTAACTAGTGGAGTTCCACAGGAGTCAGTGTTGGGACCACAACTATTCACGTTATACATTAACAATCTGGACGAAGGAACTGAGGGCATTTTTGCTAAGTTTGCAGAATGACACAAAGTTAGGTGGAGGGGCAGGTAGTATTGGGAAGCAGGGAGACTGCAGAAGGACCCAGACAAGTTACAAGAGTGGGCAGTGAAATGGCAGATGGAATATAACACGGGAATGTGTGAGGTTATGCACTTTGGTAGGAAGTGTAGAGGCATAGACTTTTTTTCTAAATGGGGAAAGGCTTTGGCAATCTGAAACACAAAGGAACTTGGGAGTCTTGGTTCAGGATTCTCTAAAGGTTAACAGGCTCAGTTGGCGTTAGGAAGGCAAATGCAATGGTCATATTCATTTTGAGAGGGCTAGAAAACAAGAGCAGGGATGTACTGCTGAGACTATATAAGGCTCTGGTCAGACTACATTCGAAATACTGTGAGCAGTTTTGGGACCTGTATTGAAGGAAAGATGTGCTGGTGTCGGAGAGGGTTCAGAGGAGGTCCACAAGAATGATTGCAGGGATGAAGGGCTTGTCAAATGAGGAGCAGTTGAGGACTATGGATTTTGAAAATTTTTTTATTCATTCATGAGATAGGGGCGTTGTTGGTTAGACCACCATTTGTTGCCCATCTCTAATTGCCCTGAGGGTAGTTAAGAGTCACCCACATCACTATGGGTCTGGAGTCACATGTAGGCCGGACCAGTTTCCTTCCCTAAATGTCATTAGTAAACTGACAATTAGTTTTTCCCATAATCAATAATGGATTCATGGCCATCATTAAACTCTTACTTCCAGATTTTTGTTGGGTTTCAAATTCTACCATCCACCATGGCTGGATTTGAACCCAGATCCCCAGAACATTACCTGGGTTCTGGATAAACAGACCAGCAATAATACCACTGGGCCATTGCCTCCACCCGAAGAGGCATAGAATATTTTCTAAATGGGGAAAGGCTTCAGAAATCTAAAACACAAAGGGGCTTGGGAGTCCGAGCTTAGGATTCTCTTAAGGTTAACATGCAGGTTCAGTCGGGAGTTAGGAAGGCAAATGCAATGTTATCATTCATTTCAAGAGGGCTAGGTTACAACAGCAGATATGTACTGCTGAGGCTGTATCAGGAACTGGTCAGACCACATTGGAATACTGAGAGCAGTTTTGGGCCTAGTATCTACAAAAGGATGTGCTGGCCTTGGAGGAGGTCCAGA